GTTTTCCCCAGGGCTGTATCCTGCTGTCTGCTCCCCCAGTGCTGGGAGCCTCTGCTTTGTACTGGGACAGTGTATGAGGTAATGGCCGATGCCTGCTGCCAGACCCCCCGCATGGTGCCCAGCCACCTCTGCCTGCCCCTCCCTTGTATGGAGGTTGGGGGTCCACCAACATCATCTCCCAGGTCTGCCTGCCCTGCAATGGGGACACACCGTGGGTGCTGGGTGGGTCCTGCTGACTAGGGAGGGGATATGAGAAGGGAAAGGTGGGCTTTGGTGTGTTAACTCTGTACCTTGTGCTGTGTGAGAGGGAGCTAGAGGGTGTCCCTCCAGTGGGAGGGTTGGTATGGCTCACCCCGCATTGGGGGAGAGGGTGTCAGCCCCCTCGGTGGGTTCAGGGTGCTCTCAGCACTGGGGAGATGGGGGGGTGGGCATGGTTGCAGAGGTGGGCACTGCCCCAGGGTGTCTCTGTCCTGTGGTCCTCACAGTACCCATAGTGTCACCATGGGTTGTGTGCATGCCCCCTGGCCTGTCCCGGGAGGGGACAGTGACCAGGTTCACAGGGACACCTGGGTGCTCCAGACACTGCCTGGGATGTAAAGTATCCGGGCTGGAAAGAGACTAATTTGTGGGATTGGGCGGTGATGCTGAGAGCCGGGGGGGTGTCCAAGCCCAACGGGTGATGAGGTAGGTGGCCGGCATGTGTCTGTCCAGGGGATAACGGTACGTGTAGGGGGTGGATATGTGCGTCTGTCCGTCCATGTCTGCACAGGCACAGCGGGCTGTGGTGTGACTCCCAGAGGCTGCTGCCTGCTAAAACACCTCCATCCCTGCCCAGGGGAAGCTGCCAAGAGCAGGCAGGGGGGCTCTGGGCAGGGGCAGGCAGCGCCTGCAATGGAGTGGGGGGCTCCCAATGCTGTCCCTCGACGGGTGCCACGGCTGAGAAAGGGGCAGTAGATGGGGGGGCTCGGGGCAGAGTAAGAGACATTGGAGGCATTTGGGGCACAGGATGGGCTCCGTAGCCCACATCATGCACCCTACTGGGGCTCCCGTGGGCTGGGGGCCAGGGTCCTGAGACCCCCTCCTAACAGTACTGAAGAGAGCAGGGTCCTGCCCCTGGCCCCCGAGCAGCAGCACTGCAAAAAGCCATTAAGCTAAATTAAGCTAATGCAAGTGAGAGCGGGAGGCTGGTACGGGCTCCCTCTGCGGGCACCTGCCGCCTGGCAGCGTGTGGGGCTGAGCAGGGCTGGGCAGCCTCTCCTGGGCCTTTTTTTGGGCAGGCAGCTATGGGTCAGCCTGCCCTCACTGGGAGGAGGATCCCCACAACCTGCTGTACCAGTGCCCACAGGCCCAGATGTTTCGGGATGACCCCCTCAATCACCATCAGAGCCTGATTGGACCCAGAGCTCCCGGATGATGGGGACAAACCACCTCTTTGCCCGGAGATATTCCCGCCTCTGCAGGGAAGGCTTGGTCTTGGAGTCCCACAGGATCCCCAACCTGCTCTTGTCTCCTGTCCATGCCACTCAAAGGCGCAGGTCCCCACAAACAGATGCTTTTGGGGTGCTTCACTCCCACTCCCTGAGCCCCAATGCCCTCCAGCACCCCTTGCTGGGACCCCAGCACCCAGCGTGCTAGCCTGGTGCTGGGAGCAGGGTTGGCTGGTGCTGCCATAGCAGAAGGCCATGGGCCAAGGGACAGACGGGAGAGGCGGGGACGGGGACAGGGTCCCCCCTTGTTAACAGCACAGGACCCTGTAGCCTTTTCAAGGCTCTGAATAGGGGGTGGTACCTCTCCTCCCCTGAATTTGGGGCCCGGGGGTTGTTGGCACTGGTTTAACACACTCAGACAGGGCTGGAGGGATGGGGAGGGGACACGCTGCCCCAGATGGGAGCATGTGGGGGGTTTCTCCTGCCGCCACATGCCCTTCCTCTCCCTCCCGCCCACCATTCACATGGTAATGAGGACAAATTGATGGAGAGACATCCATTGTGGTACCCTCCAGCCCAGCCCTTCTGCCGGCCACCCACCAGCATCCCCATCCATCACCACCCAGCCGGGACCCTGGTGGGACCCCCTTCCCCGGGACTGGCAACCTGGGGCATGAAGCTGCTTCAGGTGCCTATGAGCAGCCGGCAGCCTGCAGGCTGCCCTGGCTCTCCTGGGGCTGAGTGACAAGAGAGGGGGGGACATCCAGGGAAGGAAGAGCCTCCCCCTAAATCCTGTCTGTCAGCTGCACATCATTTTGTCCTCACCATCCTCAATATGGGGCTTTATGGGGCTTGGGGGGAGTTAATGGGGCTTCAGAAAGACCCCAGAATCTTATTTGTGAGTGTTTCTCCTTCCTCTTGCTGCCCTGGAGCAAGCCCAGAGCCAGGACCACCCCCACTTTCCCTTCTTCCACTCTGAAGCAGCCCCCAAATACCCTGCAGCTTTGTCCTAATGGGTCAGGGAGCTGTTCCCCCATACTCACTGGTACCCCAAGAACTTGGGTCTGGTGACGGGCTGCCCACCGTGCCACGGGACACCACAAAGGGCACATCCTCTCCCCATGCATCCCCTGCCTCCGTCTCCCCCCACTGTGCCTGCAACGGCAGCCTGATTGAAATTTCACTCCATAATGCGTCTCTCAAAAGCCTGACCCCGTGCCCACCCCAGGGACCAATTTGTCCTTCTCTGTAATAAGAACCTAATTAAATTAGCTCAGCCGCCTCGCGGAGCCCTTAAATTAGCCGTGGTGATGAGGGCCCTCGCTGACAGCCTGCTGCCGAATTGCTCCGCACTCACCATGCTGTGGGGTCCAGGGAAAGCCCTGGGGGGGATCTCACTCACAGCCCCCCCTGGGGAGACCAGGGCAGGACAGCTTGGAGATGGGGCAGGGGATGCACAGAGGGGTGCACAGGTGGGACAGGTATGGGGAGGCTGCGTGGGGTGCTGGCTGGTGGTCTTTCCTTCTGCTGGCACAGGATGGAGTGGAGGGGGGGGCAAGGCCACCAAAGGGCGAGGGGACAGAGCCAGCAGTGACTAGCGCTAGTGACATTGGAAACCCAGTGCACAGGATAGGGGGTCCGTCTTCTCCAGGAGCACTGGGTTAGTGGGTGTTGTGATGGAGGTGGTGGGGAAGGGTGTCCTGGCACAGCCAGGCACTGGGGTGATGGGCCCAGACTGGGATGGAGAGGTGTCCCCGGCAGTCTGACAGTGCCTGTCCCTCCTGCCTCCCGCTTATCCTAGTTTCCAGGTGGCCCAAAGGCAGCTTGGTCCCATTTAGGCTTGGTCACTCCTGCTGCCTCCAGCTGCCCACCTCCCCTGGGTACAGGGGAGTGGGGAGGGAGAGCTCGCCCTTACCCGTGGGGGGCACTGAGGTGGCCGAATCTTGCTCCTACAGAAGCACAAGATGCCGTCTAGCCCTGCCTGCCCTGTTTATGATGGGCAGTAAGTGTCCCTGATCCCTGCCTACCCTCCCCATACCAGAGCTTGAAGCGCCCTCCTGGGAGATGATGGATTTATTGGGCTGTGTCCCCGACCAGGAAAGGTACATCCAGTGAAGAGACAAAAATACACCTGCCATCGGCCGCGCTCACGCTCTCTCACTTCACCCTGGACAACAATCACCATAAAAACTGTGCTTTAAAATAATCTTTAAATAATTCCTGCTTTTTGTTAAAAAAAAAAATTGCCCCCCCAACCAAACGGCTTTCCACCCCCCCTCAGTCCCGTCTCACCCTGCACGTGCCCATGCTGCCTCCCAACTATGGTACATACAAAGAGCAGATAAATAAATAAAGACGCGTGATGCTGCAGGGAGACACAGGTCACAGCCCTCCCCCCAGCCCCCTCACCTCCACTAACGTGGAGCCAGGGGAGGCTGAGGCTCTAGCTAGGATTTTGGGGAGGGGACCAGGGCTGCAGCTCTGATGGGACTCTCCCCAGGTCCAGGAGTGGGTGAGCAGCAATGAGTTACCCTGAGGGTTTGGGGTGCTGGGGGGTCAGGAAGGTCAAGCCAGGCAGGGTCTGGAGCTTGGGGAGTTTTTAAGCTTTGGGATGGGAAAGGCATGGCTTTGGGTGGGATGCCAGGAAGGCAAGGGAGGGAGTGCTTTCTCCCCAGCCGCTTTCCTTCCCCTGGCTGCGGCAGGCTGCGGCTGCAGCCCTGGCTCTCCCCACCCCTGCTCCCACCAGTGCCTGCCCATGCCTGGCTGGCATTTGCATCCTCCTGCCTGCACACCTGCCTCCACAGCCCCCTCTTGCCAGCCAGAGCCCCCCCTTTATGTCACAGCCTCCCCACAGGCATGACCGGCTGGGTGGCCACAGTGCTGGCTTTGGGAAGAGCTCGGGGTCCTGCTCCCCAGTCTCTCACTCCAGCAGCAGTCGTGTCACCAAGTCAGGGGTCTCATGCCAGAGCCATGCCAGCCCCTCCAGCCCTGCCCGTGCTTGGGCATCCAAGGCATACAGGGGCTGGTTTTGGGTGCCACCCTGCACCCGCAGTCAGGGCTAAAGGCAAGGCACTGTCCCAGTACCTGGGTCACCCTCCTCCCAGCTGCCATGTCCCAGGGGTGGGAATGGCATTACCTGCCCTCCTGCCCAGCAAAGGGCTCTGGGGCCCCTCTCCTAAAGGGCCCCCAGTGGGTGCAGGCAGGCTGGGAGCCCCATGGAGCAGTCTGTAGCCACGGGCTCTCTCCTCTTCCCGCTCCCTCTCATCTATCAGACCTCTGTCATTAGCTAATTCTGCACACGCACACGCACATCACACGCACACACACAAATAGCAGCATGTGGATCCAGCCGGGGGCACCCCCATGTCCGGGGGGGACCTTTCATGCCTCTCCCCTGCCCCCAGGGGGCGAGGAGGGGGCAGTGGGCATGGAGGAGGTACACCAAGGAGCCCCGGTGCCCCCCAAACAGGAGGTGGCTGTGCCCCAAGCAGGCAGGACTGGAGGCAGCTCCCCACGGGCATCCAGCTTTGGGAGGGGGTGCTGGCCCCCGGTGAGCTGCCCCGCAGCCACCACCTCTGCCAGCAGCGCCGGCCATGGCCGAGGCGCACCCTCCGCTCTCTGCCCGGGGTACCCCCAGCGGGTGGAAGCTGTCAGGGGGCAGAAGCAGCTGGCCTAGGCGGTAGAGCAGCCCCGAGTACCAGTGCACACCATCCCCCTGCACCCCTGGCCACCCCACCAGGCTGTGGTAGAGCCGGAGCGGCCAGAAGGCCAGCTGCGCCAGATGTTGCTCCTGCACCAGGGCGAAGCATGAGGCCACCACACCGTCCACCACCAGTGTCCCGTGGCGTGTCAGCGGGGCATAGGCTCCCATGTCCCTCCGGTCCCGCACCCCCACCACCTCAGCGGGCTGCCAGCCACCCTCTGCCACTGCCACCAGCACGAAATGTCCGGGGCGCACATGGCTGGCGAAGGTGGGGCGGAAGCGGGCAGCGGGTGCCGAGGCATTCTCAGCCACGAAGAGCAGGTGGGTGGGCGTCAGGGCCAGGCGCCGGGGCGGCTCCCGTGTCTCGATGACGTGGAAGGAGGTGAGAGCACGGGGCTCCTTGTCCAAGAAAGCCAAGAAGTCACTGTAAGTGGGTCTGCCTGCCCCGTCCATCGCCAGCACCCGCTGGCCTGGGCGCAGAGCCCACAGCGGCATCCTGGCACCATCCTCCAGCGTCGCCAGCGCCCGCCCAGGGAAGCAGCCCCCCGTCTTCGCAGCGGCTGAGTGCTCTGCATGGGGAGAGAGAGGACAGGAGGGTTACCTGTCTGCCAGACACCCAGCATCACCCTTACGTGATGCACAGAGACCCTCCCAGGCTGCCCAGCTTTGCCCACCCAGGGATAACCCTACTCTGGCATCACCAATGTGCATATGTTGCCTGCACACCCCCAGCCACCAATACACCCTCCCTGAGAGCCTGCTCCCCCAGCCAC